TTTTTTTTTTCTCGCAGGCTTTCGAGACCCTGACTGAAGAATACAAAGGCAAACGGGACTCGCTGTTCCTCCCTGCGACTTGAAGAATTTGGCAGACGCAAATGAAGTGCATCATGAAAGAATGTGAAAACGCCGGAGTGTATTGTGAGCTGCATGAAGGATCAGTGTTAGGTAATTCGTTTATACTTCACCTAAACTCGCCTCATATAACAATGTATTGCCTTTATTGCTTCAAAATAAAACAGTGAAATTCAAAGAATACATCCAAAAAAGGAAAAAACATCAACGTCATAAGGCATCCGGGACCTCACACTGAGAGCCCCTATATCACCCAGGGCCACCCCAAAGTATCGCCTTTTTGCTTCGCTCCCTCGTGCGAGAAGATGGCAGACAAAGATGAGCTCGTCAGTGGATGGGATATCTCAGGTAATCCACCTTCTCTTGCCACTCTTAGCAGCCATCGTGACACTAGTCCGATAGCTGAACTCTTATCGAACAGTCCGTTCATCACCTTTCTATCCGAAGCTGTTGCAAAGCAAATTTCTGTTTCATCGAACTTTGCAAGTTCATCCACTGGTTCCCTCGCCGGTTCAACAAACGAGACGGATCGCAGTAAACCATCTGAGTCATCAGAATCGGTTGTTAATTCCGGTGAAGCCTCCGGATCAACAAAAGGCTCAGCTACGAAAGACAAACGTGCTCCTGAAGGAGACGAGCCAAACGCAAGCAACAACAAGAAGCCTCGTGTTCAGAAACCTCCACTCATTACAATTGATGGGCAGGATTCGAATGATTTGCCGGCCTCTGTAGAACTAGAGGATGAACTTACAACCTCTGGCCGCTGGGAAACATCAGATGAGTTGTCTGCTCTACTTCCCTTGTTATTTACGAAGGAACTTTCCGCGTTTGAACGACGGGCGATCGTGAAAGATTTCCCGCGCCCGAACGTGGAATGCGTTTTTGCTCCTAACCCGGATTCGTATTTGGGTGACTTGGTCCCACAAGCTAAACCTGTGGATAAACCGATAAAAAAGTCACAAGACCTCATCCTTGATGTTACTGGCCCACTAGCAATGGCGTGGGAGCACATGAATAGCGCCGAAACCTTGTCGGTGGATGTAATCCAGACCTGCATTTCTAAAGCCCTGTTCTTACTAGGAAATGCCTGCAGCCACTTGACTACTTGGCGCCGGAGGCTTGTTCTGGATAAACTTGGCTCTGATTACGGTTCCCTCGCTAAAGAAAGCTTTCCAGAATGCAAGAAAGATTTGTTTGGCCCAGGCTTGGAAGAAAAGGTTACTAAACGTGCCGAAACCGCCAAGGTGATCTCGTCTGCCTTGCGTAAACCTGGCCATGTTTCAAAGAAGTTTTTTCATGCTCGGCCTTCCCAAAATTCAAAGCCGAGCTGGGAGGGCCATTACAGCCCGCGAGGCAACAGTTTTTTCAGAGGCAGATCCTCCTACAACCGCACCCCTTGGAGGGGCGGCCGATTTCACCGGAGAGGGTCTTCCAGGGGGACACCCAACATCTCAGGCCTCTAATTTCCCAAGGTATGTTTGCAAATCCAGATTTATTGTTAAGCACAAATTTAACTCCTTTGGGAGGTCGGTTGCAAAGTTTTCTTCCCCAGTGGCAAAGCCTAACTTCAGACCCCTGGGTACTAAATGTTATCCAAGGGTACCGCCTCCCCTTGTTGATGGAACCATTTCAGAGTCACATACCCAGTACACATGTGTCAGATACTCAAGCCAGCTTAATAGACGAAGAAGTCAAAGAAATGATACAAAAAGGGGCAGTTCATGCAGTTCCCAACTCTCACCCCCGAGACGGTTTTGTCAGTTTTCTTTTTCTAGTTCCCAAAAAGGGAGGAGGCCAACGCCCAGTTATCAATCTCAAAGGGCTAAATCAATTCTTAGAATACCAGCATTTCAAAGTGGAGGGTATTCACATGTTACGGGATCTTGTCAAAGAAAACGACCACCTGGTAGAGATCGATTTAAAAGACGCATACTTTACCATTCCAATTTGGAAGAACCATCAAAAGTATCTCAGATTCCTTTGGAAAGATACCCTCCTGGAATTCACGTGCCTCCCCTTTGGGCTAGCTTCAGCACCCCTGGTGTTAACCAAGATACTAAGACCAGTCGTAGCATTGTTACGCAAACAAGGTGTACGACTGATTATTTATTTCGACGACATCCCGATCATGGCAGAGTCAGTCGAGATAGCCAAAGCCCATGCCAACCTGGCAGTCAACTTGCTAACCAGCTTGGGCTTTGTGATCAACCACAAAAGGTCAGTTCTAAATCCCAGTCAACAGTTAGAGTTTCTGGGGTTCACAGTCAACTCAGTAACTATGACTCTGTCCTTAACCCACGACAAACTTCGTCAAATCAGGAGAGAGAGTAAGTCCTTGCTGAGCAACAACCCGGTTTCTGTAAGAGAACTCTCTCGATTTCTAGGGAAGCTAAATGCATCCATTCAGGCAGTTTTCCCTGCTCCCCTAAACTAGCGCCACCTCCGGCGGGTAAAACACCTTGCTCTCAGTCATTCACAGGACTAGGGAGGAACTGATTTGGTGGCGAGACAACCTGCTAGCCTGAAATGGCAAAAGTCTAGTATCAAAATGCCCCGATATCGTTATAGAGACAGATGCTTCGTCTCTAGGCTGGGGGGCTCGTTATGGGGACATTGGTCTCAGACCGAGCGTTTATTGCACATAAACTGCCTGGAACTGATAGCGGGAGGATTTGCTCTGAAATCATTCGTAAAAGACAGATGCCATATCAAAGTCATTCTGTTAATGGCCAACCAGACATCAGTTACATACCTAAACAAAATGGGGGCACGTCCTCATGCATTCTCGCTTCCTTGACCTATCAAATATGGCAGTGGTGTCTCAACAGAGACATAACTATAGTCGCACAACACCTACCAGGGTATCTATGTAATAGCCGACGAGGAGTCCCGATCGCTGGGCGACTCCAGCGATTGGAAACTCATGCCCGAAATATTCCAGCAAATAAATCTGCTCTGGGGTCCTCTAGAAATAGACCTTTTTGCCTCTCGGCTAACCAACCAACTCCCTCGTTATGTGAGTTGGAAGCCAGACCCAGGAGCAGAAGCGACGGATGCTTTTTCGCTAAACTGGGCCCAACACAGAGGTTATGTATTCCCGCCATATATACTGATTGGGCTTTGCGTCAAACAGGTCATCCGTCAACAAGTTCCAAGTCTTGTGATAGTTACCCAGGTTTGGAAAATGTAATCCTAGTTCCCTCTGCTCCTGGAGCTGTGTGTGGACCAACCACTGCTCCTCCCACCCTCCCCCAATCTGCTGACCAGGGAACAGGAGCAACACCCCTAAAAGACCTTGTTTTAGCCGCGTGGCTTGTCTCAGCCAACAGTTCGAGGCAAACAGCATTTCGCACGAAGCTAAAACCCTTCTCTTGTCCGCTTGGCGTAAATCCACAGCAGCCTGTTATAACTCTGCTTGGAAACAGTGGGTTAGCTGGTGTTTATCAAAACAAATTAATCCAGTTTCAGCACCTTTGAATGCAATCATTGAATATCTGACACATTTATTCCATCTTGGAAGAGAGTACAGGACAATCAACCTCCATAGGTTTGCTATTTCCAAAACACACACCCC